TAGGCAGACCGCAGTTCGACAATATTATTTAATATGATATTTGGCTGTCCAAAACGTCATATTAAACGAAGGAAATTAAAAATTGAATTATAAGCAGTCCAAAGTGGGAGACATTGAAAAATTCATGTACAACCTTGCATAATTAGAAACAAATATATTAAAATATCTTTAAACCATCTATGTACATATGCACAAAAACTACTAACCTTTATCGCTGAAAATTTCTCACTTGTTTTTATTAATGCTAGGAGTGTTTAGAGACTTCGTAAAAAGCATATTAAATAAAAATAAGAGATGTCAGGGTTTAAAATATATATATATATATAATACACGAGGAACAAGTGGCATCCATTTTCCGTCTGTTTTCTTTCCAGACAGGCTGCGATCTTTTCGGCTTCCTCTATAATTGCGCGCCTCCCACGTCTTTCGAATTCCGATTCGGAGGTGCTCACTCGTAATCGACCCAAAAACTGCGCTAACACTCTACAATCGAAAAACTGCTGAATCAGTTTCGTTGATGTAAAGATACATTCTTCACTGCGGTAGATAGATAGATAGATAGATATAATGTTTCAGGATATGGTATACTGCGCCCTTTAAGTGCTATTGTATCCCCTGTACTCTGCCTAAAGCACATCGGTGAGTCCTATTTCATCAAGAAACTTGATTAATAGGCCCGGTTTCAGTGGTTGTAGTTCTTCTATGGTCAGATTGTACATCCCAAAACACTTCCTCCTGCGGGCTAATTGTAGCTCCGCAGTTTGTTAGTAAGTGTGTTGGAGTCTCTTCTGCTTCCTTGCAGAATCTACATGTGCCATCTTGGATTATTCCAATTTTCTTTAGATGTCCATTTAATTTAGTGTCCTGTCAGGAATCCTGTTAGGATTCGCAGCCTTTGTCCTTTTTTCCCCAGGGAGGCTTCCATTGATACATGAGATGCATTGTCGAAAGCTCCCTTAATATCGAGGACGCGCAGATTGCTATTTCTTTTGTTTCCAGTGTTTCTTTTAGGTCACTGGTTAGTTGGTACAGTGCAGTTTCTGTTGATCTTCCTGCTCTGTATGCATGCTGACAGTAATGGAGAGGCTTGTTTACCAGTGCTGTCGTTCTTATATGGTTGTCTATCAGCTTTTCAAGGGTCTTTAATAAGAAGGATGTTAAGCTGATTGGTCTGTAGGATTAGGGAGATGTGGGGTCTCTTTTCCCCACTTTTGGTATAAACACCACCCTTGCCCTACGCCATGTCTGTGGTATATAACCTAGTGCTAAACTGCTTCTGTATATTCGTAGCAGTGTTGGAGTAATTATATCCACTGCGGTAAGTATCTTTAGTAGAGGCAGCACACGAGTAGTGTAGATGAGAGAACCGATAACCTGACCGTCCCAAGACCCTAAGCCTAACCATCACAATTGATAAAAATGCCCCGAATAAACACAGTTCGTAAACCAACACTCCACTCCAAAATTTATGAACAGTTGAGCCAACAATAATCGATTGTGTGCAACATTTAGAGAAGCACGCCAAAAATTGAATTTACTTGAAAACGATGCACAATGGGATAGTTTATTAACTGATGCGACAACTTCTTCTCATAATATCTGCGTGTTCGCCATCAAATCGAAATGAATTCTGGGAAAAATATAAAGGATTTCTGACTGCATACATTCTGCATCGACTTCTTATAAGATGTTTAAATTACGACTTACAATTCACACCAAGTGTGATGAAGTATTAGTTTATGATTGTGGGCAAGTTGTTGGTAATCTTTAATAATTCATTGTTAAACTGGGAACGACATCATTGGCTAATGTCATATTTGATACTGAATTACAACGCGAAAAAACTTCAACGTCAATGAATGAAATATATTTCTACAATCAACTACATATTCAAACGGTTACGTCAAGAACAAAAAACGTATGATACTGGGAGTAAAAAACGATGAAAGCAGTGGAATATATTTCTTGAATGCGCCAGGTGGCAAAGGAAAACCCATATCTTATTTCAATGATACTAGAACTCATACGTGCAAAAATAATATCGCATTGGCAATCGTATCGTATTGAATTGCGACGGCAACTCTTTTGTATTGTTATCGAACAGCATATTAAGCACTTAAATTGACATTGAATATACCAAACAGTGAAACACTAACTTGCAACATTTTAAAATCATCAGGAATGAGTAAAGTACACCAGCATTTAGCATGAATACACAATGGCGCACAAAAATCTTTGGAAGCAATACATTCAAATATTTAATTATTAATATTGATAAATCCGTAAATATGTACGAATATATATTTCTATTTCTATATATTATATTAACCTATTTAGCTATAATTCGAATATACACAACGGAAAAAGTTACACAGTATGAAGGTTTTTCCTTCGGAAAAGGACTTACGGAAGAAATCGCAAATGGTAAAGCAGTGCATGAACTCTAGCGGTGTTACTACCAGTTTAACATTTCTTACAAAAGTACCCCCTCACGGCATCTTTGAGAACTATTTCATTGTCCCTAGAGTCCCGGGTATTTTCGAAAAACGTTTTTCACACATGTCCGCAAATCTCCTCAACAGTATCAAAAACTAATTTTAATCTATAATGATTATTTGTGGGAGTTAGGTAGATCTTACTTACATCTGGATAAATCGAACACTACCCATTTATTATGGTATAGGTCTCTAGGAACGTTTTTTTTACGAAATTTAATTGTATTGATTTATGAAGGCTTCACACTTAGTATCACCGAATTTAATTACACTTTTATTGGGTGGAAAAATGTAATAATCGTGTCCGAGCGTTCTTGGCAATAAGCATTAGGAGCCAAAAAAGAAAATTATTTTACTAATTTACATTGTTTTTGTAAATATGTTTTTCTGTGTTGCGCAATTATTTAAAGGTTATTATATACCGTTACGTTTTTATCCAGGATAAGATGCAGGATCGTATTAAATAAAATTACATATACTTATATAATAAGTGATAATAACGAAAACACACCATTACTAAAGTAAAAAAATATTAACAGAAAAATTGAACCAATTTGATTCGTACACATTAGACTTTTTTTTTTAATTCGTTGTACTTTTTATCATTAATTTAATATATGTCATATTTCATATCATAATTACTTATATTAAATATAAATTGAATATATTTCATTGCTCTTTTGTCACCTTGGCAAACGGATTTTATGGCCACGTCTGTTAGCTTTCGGGTCTTTTATTTTTTATTATTATTACAATTCTTTCATCTATTATTAAGAAATCAAATATATTATTATTATTAATACGAATTTTTTTGACAAACAAGAAATGGACATTTGTCGTCTGGATTTGCCAGGAATAATTATCTTTTTGTTCCATTTAAAAATTCTTAAAACATCTAAATTTTATCATAATTGAACGTTTATAGAACCGTTGGACGGCAGGATATTTAATACACCAGGCTGTATGAACACGATTTACATAATATGTAATTTTCGTTTCTAATTTATTTAGTTAGGCGATATTCAATCCATTAAGTGTTGTTCAAATCCCACGTAAAGTATTCAGTAGATCGGTGCTGTCCTTTCAAAGTTATGACCATTTTTTGACCAAAATCAAAAGTATTTGAGGTCAAACATTTTGAGGAAGAAATATTGTTTTCCAAAAATTTATATTCACGGGTTTTCTTGCTAAAAAATTGCTGATTTTTCTATCTGCTCGGTCACTACGTCAACATTGTATTTGACAGATATCCATAGAGAGCTTCTCAGCTCTCTAAGCTCTAAGTTTCTAATATGTTTAGATCTACTATTACCAAAATATGTTTCATTAAAATAAATGATCCCACGTAGCCTATCCTCGTCAGGTAAAAGCAAACATTAAGTAAAGACTGAAAGTATCACCAAAACGTATTTTGTTTGAACTATGTACGTTACAAATGGCGAGAATGAGGCATGATAGTTGTTTATATTGTTTGTTATTGTTATTTTATGCTTATGCTTTGGAAGAGAGCAGTGGTAGCTGGTGTACCTCAAACTACCTTGTAAGTTGCTAGGCTACCATAATTCAGCAATTGCATAGAATTGGCGTGTCCCCTACACCTACAACAGCTTTCCAGCTCCCTCATGTAACTGTGTCACACTAAAAATCTTAACAAAAATGTAAAGCACTCTAAGTTTTTAGAACAGATCTAGATGGTTGTGATGTGATTTAATACAATTTTTAAGGAGGTTCTTCTCTTTGAATTTCGTAATTGCATGCGATAAATTTGGCACATTCGTCGAGTCGAACAACTAAGGACACACATTCCATCCATGTCATAAATTATGAAAACGATGCGAATTTCTTCCTCATTTAGTTCCATGGTCACTTTTTAAGGTGCCAAGCATCGAACCTGAAGAAGAAGTAAAAAGTGTTTATCAAAATTTTCCATTCTTTGGCACCATAAGGATGTCACCACAAGACTAAATCTAACAAATGGCCGTTGTTTTGGGATAAAACAATATCTTAATGTATTATATTATAACAATCATTTATCTATCAAAACAATATAAGCATACGTTTTTGAGATATCTTGAGTTGAGAACTGCGGGATGATGAACGAGTGTTTGGTTGCTGGAACAACTGCCATGCTATTTTTTGACAAACCAAGCCAGCGACGGTAGGATGATTAGGATGATCGAAAACAACTAAATGCACGTACTTTTCTCACTTCAGCTATAATAAAATGAGTTGTGCAATCGTAAAAAAAACTGGTTTTTATTGATGTTATTTTTTATTTATTTAATTTATGATTGTGAATGACGTTTTGATTCAATTAAAATTGCGTCAGTATGATGTACTTATCAGAATAGAATGACTGCAAATAATCACGAACATTTTTTGTGGAAGAACCTTTAGTTCGACGAATAACATTCAAAAGATTATGTAAATCCTAAACACACTTAATTCAATGTTACAGTTGGTCATTGTTGTATAAAAGCGTTTCAATCTTTATTATTTATTTACTTGACTGGCAATGGCGGCCTTGGCGTAGGAACCCTGGTGTATGTCAACCTCGTCGTAGGCACTTTCGACGAAGGTACCGGCAATAATGACGGTTTCTGGTAGGTCAGACCTTTCGAGGAGTAATCCATAACCTACAAAACAAAACGAATGCAATATAAGGACATATATGTGATAGTATGCTTTTATAAAAATATATATTATGTAATGAAAACAGACATTCGTTAAACTTTTGTGGAACTTAAAAGAGAATTGGATGTACGATTGGTAAACTAAATTATCATAAAATGTTGAGATGAAAAAGGGATTTTTAAAATAGTTGTACGTTGAGATGAGGAGTTGGTTTCTCGGGAGAAAGAATGTCATGGTAGCTCAAAGGTGCAGCATCAGAGTATGCATCTATTCAAAAGGCTTAGGTATCAAACCGAATACCACCAACTTTCCACCTTAAATTTATCTTCATAGTTTATTTTTGTTGTAAAAATAATGATGATTAAAATAATTTAATGAAATTCCCATAGTGTTAGTTGTAAGAGTAAGTCCCCTTCAAAACCAAACATATATAAACATAAAACAGCAAAATCTCACTGGCACTCTCAACACGACACGTATGACGATAAGGCCAGCCCCCCACCATGGACCGGAGAGCGTTGTCGGGACAGGACCACTTCGTGGCGAGCGGCCAAAAGGAGAGAATCGCCCTGCAGTTTCTATTTTGGAGTTTTTTGCGGTTACCGAGCCAATATTCTCAACGGTAATCCACCTGTCCACCCCGAGGGAGAGTTACCAGTCCGAGGAAGCGGACTCGACGAAGGCCGGCAAGGACTACACCGGGTTCGTTGAGTGTGGTGGCTGGACGACTCCCTTTTTTCAGGGAGGTGTACGATCAAACAAACATAACAAAAACTATTCGTTCAGAATTTAACGAGGAAAGAAGTTTATCTTGTTTTATCTTTTTTTAATTTAATAATTTGCACGAGAACTCATTTGTTTTGTAAGAAGAGTACCTATTGTAATTATATTATTTTCTCCTTTTATTTTTATTATTATTTTAACTTCTAGTCTCCTTGTGTCATGTCGTGATAAATAATGGTAGCAGAGCGTGGTTGCATGCAAGTACATGTGGCGATCTTTGAACTTTCACATTCGTGCATATAAAATCGTTCATTGCAATTATTTTGTTTCCACAATTTTTACACACTATAAAACAACACAACATGAGTAACTCTCAACAAAAAACAATTTGCCTCCAATGCTTGGTTCCAGTCGCGCCGGACACCTTTGTCACATGCGCGAAATGTGACAAAACCTTTCATTATGCTTGCTGTAGAGTAAAATCTAGAGAAAATTGGCTTAAGACCCCCACAGACAAACGGCCTCATTGGATGTGCGATGGATGTCAGGAAATTTTTAAACTCCAAAGGGAAAATAATAAAATGAGTGAAAAACTGGAGAATTTAAAATCGCACATTGAAGAAAACGGTAAAACGACCGCGGAACGATTAAATACCTTGCAGGGGGACATAAATAATCTGACCGCATTGATACAGACTCTCGTAGGCACAAAACACTGACCACACATTCTGATATCGTACTCACTCCGCAGGAACAAACTTCCACAGTTACACCAAACACTCAACGTACAACCCAAGAAACGCAAACAAACGAAAACACAGCAAATTTGATGAGTTCTACCCTGGAGTCCCCACGAAGTCGCTTACCCGATTTTAGCGTTCTGAGAGAATCCGAGGACGAATGTTCTAATGGGTCGGAGATCGAGATTCCCCAAGACCAACAAACCGTCAAACTTTATTTTAAAAAAACCTTGTCACCCACAATTACGCGTAAAATAAGGGACTTGCCCATGTTTAGGCTGTATCAGCCAAATAATATTATAAACTTTTTGTTAAAATTGAGTCCCATCGCGCACAGAAATAACAACAGATTCAAAAGTATACTTTCGGTGCTGGCGGATCGTGAACAGGATGCGTCGACAGAGAATTTTTTGTACAATGCACTATCCTACCCCAAAATAAATTTTGAGACGTTCTCGACCTCCTTGTTGAAGCATGGTATTTCGGCGAGGCAGTATTTGCAAACTAAAACCAAATATTTGTTTTGCCCCCAAGATGAAAACACGTCCTTACGAGAATATGTGGATGCGCAGATCAAACTTTTAAAACTGTTTGGTGAGAATGATGAGCGCAGCAATATAAGCAATTTGGTAAATTCAATTCACCCGAAATACTTGCCCTATATTCGGAATCCAGATGTCCTGCAAAATTATCAACAACTTTGTTGTTGTTTCAAATGGCGGGACTGCTGTTAATATTATAGGACTTGTGGGTGTACGAATCAAATTTAGCACTTTATCCTGGTATACAAATTTTCAAATCCTAGAAAACATGCCAATTCCTATTCTTTTAGGGTATACGTTTATGAAATACACGGGATTAATTTTGGATTCGGAGAATGAGCAAATTTCGTTCGCACATAATCCTTTAAAAACATATAAGCTGCAAACACATGACGATGAAGAGATAACAAGACTTTTTAAGAAACACACAGCACCAAATTGCGAACAAAATCATTTTTCTTGCGCAAATTATATCTCGAACGGCAAGGCGAAGGTAAACAGGAAAACATACGATAACGGTGACAACAAAGAATGTCTGGATAATCTCCAGAGAGATAACCCGTTCAAAATTCCTGATAGNCTCTCTTTCAGACGTTTCCGGCAATATTTATCTCACAAGCCATTCACCCTCTACACGGATTGCAGTGGTTTAGTCCATTTTTTACAAGGAGACAGGGGGAGAATATTAAATAATCCGGCGGTAAAATGGATTACAGAGTTAGACTCCTATTCGTTTGACGTGATACACGTCAAAGGGAAGAACAATAACGTGGCGGACTATCTCTCGCGTTTTTCAGATTTACCCAAGAACGTGGAATTAAAACAAGAAGATGAAAGTATGCGAGAAGACACAGATGTGACCTTTTTCACGTCTCCATTAAGTAAATTGCCTTCGCTGTTTGATGACTTCCAACAATCGCAAAGAGATGATGACTACATATCAAAAAAAGTCACCCAGAATGACCCAAACGTCAAAATCATACGAGGCCTAACATACTATATACCAAACGGTGACCACAATCTAAAGAAACTGTTGGTACCGGACTGTTTTAAAGAGCCATTATTTCAATATTTCCATCTAAACACTTACGGTGCGCATCAGGGACTTTCCAAAACTTTGGGACGAATAAGGAACTTATTTACTTATCCGAAGATGCATCGCGATATTAAACAGAGAATAGCTAAATGCGAGGTTTGCATGCGAGTCAAACCCAATACGCACCCATACAATAAAATTTTACACAGCACTCCTCCAATACGAATCATGGAGAAATTATACATAGACTTCGTGGGTCCTTTACCAACCTCCACCACCGGAAACAGATTTATTTTTGTAGCTGTGGATGCATTCAGCAAATTCTTGTTCGCGATTCCATGTAGAAACACCACCATCGAAATAGTCATTAGAACATTTAAAGGCATATTTTCGCAACATGGTTTGCCAACATATATTATTTCCGATAGGCAATCATGCTTTAGGGCACTAACCTATAAAAATTTTCTTTTTAATCTAGGCATCACATATATTGCTAACATACCACACCATCCCCAAACAAATCGGGCAGAAAGGTATATCTCGGGCATCAAGAAGTCTATCCGAGCTTACCACAGTAACTCTCAAAAACACTGGGAAGAAAATTTATTCATATACATAAGTGCATTAAATTCCGCAAGGAACGATACAACGCAAAACACACCATCCTTAATATTTTTAGGACGTGACTTACAACACCCACTGACTCTAAAACTAAACATAGAGGACAACGTGACCCACCTGAATCAACAAGAAATGGAGACACTTTTAAAGACTACGTATCACAACTTGCTACAAGCACATAAAACACGATTAAAGCGTTACAAAATGGTGGACACTTTAACAATCCCAAAAATTGGTGATGTAGTTTATCGAAAAACATACATGTTGTCAAATAAATCCAAAAACATAAACGCTTCATTATGCGAAAAATTCTCTCGTCCTTACAAAGTCATAAAAATTTTCAATAAAGTCTCTTATTTGATACAGTCAATAAATAATCCTGAAACGACGATCCACGCTCACATCACGCAATTGAAGCCAGAAAACAAGGCATAGGCGGTAAAGGAATTAAAAATAAATAAATAATAACAAGAATAATAATAAAAAATTCAAAATAAAAACAATAGACAAAAATAATGAAAACAATAAAAAAGAGTAACAAAATTAATTATCTTCCTCTTCTCTTCATCAACCTTTGTAACATAGATTCAAATCAACCCCTCATGATCTTTCACTTCCCTACTAAAGCTTGTTGCCACCTTATTGCCGCCTTTATTGCGAGATGACACAATACAGAAATAGCAGATAAGGAACGATCAAGTTCAACCTTTCAAACATAACTCAATATGTACATCTTCATTTGATTCAACAATATGTATAATAGTGCAAGAATTTTCTTTTTTCCTTTTTTCTTTTTTAATTGTGGGAGTATTTATGACGATAAGGCCAGCCCCCCACCATGGACCGGAGAGCGTTGTCGGGACAGGACCACTTCGTGGCGAGCGGCCAAAAGGAGAGAATCGCCCTGCAGTTTCTATTTTGGAGTTTTTTGCGGTTACCGAGCCAATATTCTCAACGGCAATCCACCTGTCCACCCCGAGGGAGAGTTACCAGTCCGAGGAAGCGGACTCGACGAAGGCCGGCAAGGACTACACCGGGTTCGTTGAGTGTGATGGCTGGACGACTCCCTTTTTTCAGGGAGGTGTACAATCAAACAAACATAACAAAAATTATTCGTTCAGAATTTAACGAGGAAAGAAGTTTATTTTGTCTTATCTTTTTTTAATTTAATAATTTGCACGAGAACTCATTTGTTTTGTAAGAAGAGTACCTATTGTAATTATATTATTTTTACATTATTTTGAACTAATTTTTAAAATTATTTGGGCTTTTATTTAAGTGGATATAATGAAAAATGCTGTGTTACGAGAAAATTTAGCTTTATTTTTTATAAAACTTAACTTATTTTTAACAATCTGTGAAGTCACTTGATGACAAGGGTCACTTGTCGAACTCCGCACTAAGTTAAAGCCAGTGGTGAATGGGTCCGAAAACGACGAACACAGGTCCTAAGTGTTGGTTACCTAAGTGTTGAAAACGCAGAAAATCATAAAACCCGGACCCACCACGACCAACCAAAAATAAGGAGAGGGCCAGCGCCAGCTGTTGTCTGCCAGGTTCTTGGGCTGGCACTACCGAGCGCCAAGTGGCGCTAATCGAGTTGATAGTGATAACAGAAGTTACGTGTGTGTGATATTTAATGTTATGAACTACATTATTTTTATATATCTTACCAATACTGCCTTTAATTAGTGAATAATCATCGCATAATTGTAGAAATCAAATAAAATAATGAAGGACTACTGTACTGCATTCCACAGATGGATTATCGTCTTTTTTGAAATAATACTCATGCCTCTAATACAAACACCTCGACTGTAGTAGAAGTAGAACCAAAAAAAGAGAAATTTTGGAAGCATTACATAATTAATAATCTAAATTTAATAACAACTCAATAAATAAATACCTGGGTGGTTAGTGATTACGTAAACCTTCACACGGCGGAAACTCTTTTCCGGTATGGACAACATGAAACAGTCCACGGTCATCAGCCAGGCTGATTGATGTTCCATCTAGTCATGCCCACGCAAATGGTTGTAAAAAATGTCTAATGTACGGATTTTATGAGGATGGCCCATTTGGTAACGATGTTAATTTTGGTAAATGATTTAGGTAACCAGTTGGTTTATATTACGTAATAAGTTTTTATATATAGCGATGAAATAATTAAATTACTTCTTTTGAAGTAATATGATTTCTGAGAGCTTCCGAATCTGAGACAGTTAGGGCAAAACGTCCAAAATAAGAAGCAACATGTATTTATACCGCGGAATATTTTCTTTTCCAACAAACTAAACTAATTTTAATATAAAAATGAAAGAAATAAGAATAAATATAAAAATATAAATTAAGAGAGGTTTATAAACCAGTCTACTTCCTTGTTTGCAGAGTTGTTTTACAGTCGGTATAAAATTGGTGTTAAAAATGATGTTCCTTTGCGGATAGGGGAGACAAGATTTAGATATCTCAACAACTTAAATGCATAGAATTGCAACGAGATATCTGGTTATCGTGGTGACATAAAAGAGATCGCGGGAGGGAAAACCCGTTAGTCGCTCCATTACTATGGTCATCTCGGTTAAGGTAAATGCCCACGGCTAAATGGCACAGATTAGTCTTAGGATAAGAACTGGGTTCGTCGGCATTATTACGACATTCTTCGATGCCCGACTGAATATCATACCACCCGGCTCCTTTTATCTTTCTATAAACAAATTTGTACAGAGACCGGGTGAAAAAAGGTAAAAAAACAAATGCATTCCCAACAGTCCAACGAACCTACAACAAACCTAACTTGGGATTCTTGTGTTAATTACTTGATCTTTTAAATACGTTCAATTAGGCGAAACTATTGTATTATTTTATTTATCAGTCATACAGTACATAAATTTAAAAATATTTATAATAAAAAAGAACTAAAATAAAACTATTAGAAATTTGCAATAATAATAATAATTCAATACCTTTTCTCGTTCTTTTTATTAACGATATTATATCAACTACGAGGTTATTACCTTCGAGGTGCCGGTGTTTTTGAAAAAAGCCCATACGTTTGTCGGGTTCGAATATAGGGCCGTTGGATTCGAACTAGGGACCATTACCTTACAGTGATGAGCTTCGTGTCAACGTCCAAAAGAGTCGCGGCCACTGACGCCCCTTTAATTCAATACCTTAGAAAGATAAAAATTGCTTAAAATTGATTTAAGCTTACATTAAATATATTTGTGTATTTTATTACAATTGATGAAGCCCTGAGGTAGAGACAGGCTAGCAATAGGATAAAGGAAAGAGAGAGTTGGTTTCTGTTATATCATCAAACAACATAACATGGCTGGAGAATACGAAAAAGACATTAGTATGCTTAAAACGCTAGAAAGATAAGAAAAGAAATGCAAAGCTAAGGCTGGCGATGACTAGTGTAGTTTGCCGACCCTAAAACATTTTTTTTTTTTAAATTAAATTTATTTATTAAAACTGGTCTTATTAGACCAACCATTAATTTTACAATAATATTATAAAATAAATAAATGTTTACATTCTTATAAACCCATTGGTACAATAAGATTTACATTTCACTATTCACTTGCATAAAACA